AACTCTCTACAATTTCAATGTTGTAGACTCTTGTTCAAATGGCAAAGTAGCCATTTTCTAGCTAGATTAGATTCCTAGGTTTGAATTTGATGCAACACTTGGGCCCTCACCTCCCATTTTACATGCTTTACGAGTAGACTAGAAGCAAAAAGACTTCATAACTTTGTCCAGATTTTCTAAGACTTTGTAAAAGAAAAATTTAAGATGTAGAACCGACAAAATATTATAGCAGTGGTATTTTTTTTATTATTATTGTTTTTACAATCTTAGATGTAAAACTGACAAATATTAATCCCATGATCAGAATTATAAAAATCCATTCCAAAATTTTTTCTAAATTATGAATTACAGCAGCACCACATCAACGATCACCTTACAAGTTACAACAAAGTTTTTTATCATTTTGATCTTTGATGTTGCAGTACAACATTTCTACACCAAATTGCTATATTACAGCATGATGTTGAACACAAATGTCAGATATATAATATCATAAAACAAAATAAAAAACAAAGTCTCCCACAAATGATACAAGTCACAGACTCAGAAGAGAAACACACGGAAAAAGAGCAGCGGAATTCAAGCAGTTTCACTGCAAAAGACAAAGAACCAATCCCAACAAGAAAAGTACCATGTAATGTCCTAGGCCAACCTTTGCATTAAGCAAAGAATAAGCTCCATTGGCAAGGCTTCCTGCTGGGGTGTTTGAGGGCAAGAACAACAACCATCCAATTATCTTCGGAGCTAATCCCGATTCCGGCGAAGCTCGAATCGTTTATGAAGTTGGAGTAATGTGTGTGTGTGTAGTTAGTAAGAACAAGAGTTGGAACCAGTTTTGGAACGCAAACAGGCAATACAATTACATCAGTTGTGGTGTTGGCATCGATTTTGCATTTTGATATAGCCTTTGGATGGTCGGATAATCTAGTCTCGTTGCCATTTGAATTGCTGGGGGTTCGTACATGGCTGGTCCTCTATGTCATGGGCAATTTTCTCCGCCACGCAGTGTGCATTTTTGTTCTTGCTGAATGCTGGGAGGTTCACTTATGTTCTGAAACTGTTTAAGTCCTTGAAGAAGATGGTCTTCCTCATCTGTAAAAGCCGAAAGGTATGAAAAAAAAAGTCAAATTATGTGAAGCACATGTGCATCACATTGAACTTAATGTCCATAACTTTTTGTCAAATAATACTAATTCTCTCAAAAAAATGGAAATAAATATACAAAATAACATGCATTAAATTAAGACTACTTTGACTGCAACACTGAAGTCTTGCTTAATTTCCTTTCTTTTTGTCAAATACCAAAAAAAAAAAAAAATAGAAATTAAAGGAGCCAAAAGGCTGGAAAACACACACATGCAAACCTCAGCATATCACAGTTTCATCATGCAAACCAAGATAGGAAAGAGATATAGAGTACCATCACTGTGAACTGGATGAGAAAGCAAGAAAATGGCAAGAACAACTGCAAAGAAAAAGTGGGAAGGTTTGAGAGAGGCCATGGCAAGCTTCTAAATTAATTCCAAATAGAGAGAAAAAACCAACAATCCAAAATCTTTGTTGTGAGAAAAGCTGAGAACATAGCACAAAAAGGCAAGCAAATAAAGGAAAGAAAAGGGGTCTATGGCTCTACAAACTTTTGGGATAAGCTTTATTTGAATTTGAATTGGATACTTCTTCTTCTTCCTTTTTTGTTGATGGTTTGCCTTGGATGTCAAGCCGTTTACAGGTGCCACTTGATGGATTCGTTACTCAATAAGAAAGCTTGTGCCTTACTGACATGTAAGAGTTAAGGCTTGGGGGGGGGGGGGGGGGGGGGGGGCGCTCCACGTGGACTACACTCAAAAGTCTGGAGTTTTTAAAGGCTAGAAGATTTGAGTATAATCCAGCTCTAATTTTACAAACACAGTGATAAAGGCCAACTTGCAACACGAATCCCATTTTTCTCAGAACCTTATGGCTTGTAATATGAAAAGGGTTTGACATGAAATGCTATTGAACCCAAGTTCATTTTATCTGTAATGTTTTCCTTCATATAATAGTGCAACTTGTATTAATAGCTTTACAAAAGAAAAAAGGCAATGGAAGGAACGAAAAGGGGGAGGAATTGCTGGTTGTAAAAGGGAAAGGGAAACAAGCAAAACATTAGGAGAGAATATATTGAGAGAAGTGAAAGCATTTTCCTAGAATTTGTATCGTTTTTACCTTGTAAAGTTTCGTTAATTCAATCCAAGTTGTTTCCATATCACTCTTTTCAATGAACCATAGGTTAAGTTTGCAGTGGAATCGATGACAAAAGATTCTGAATTCGAGCCATATCATTCTTCTCTAACATTAAAAAAATGAAGTAAAAAAACTCAGTCAAGTCCATTTCTCATATCCATTTCTCACTGTTCATATATTCGCATTAGAACATATCAATTCATTAGAATTATATTAGAATGCAAATAATATATTAATAGTTATAAATTATTTAAATTTAATTTATATAAAATTTAAATTTAATTCAATTATTGTCAAATTGTGTTCGAATTCAATTAATTTAATTTATCAAATGATTTGAATTTGAATATTTTATATTCAATTTAAGTAATTTTTGAATCTAATTTAATTTTTATATTTTAATAAAATTTTATTATTTTAATTAAAAAATTATTATTTTATTTTTATTTATTAATTCAAGCTCAAAAATAAATAATTAAATTTAAAATCAAATTCATTTTTTATTTAATAAACAAATCGAATTGAATGAACTTATATAATTACATATTTATTTAAATTTAAAAAATTAAATTTAATCGATTCTAATTTTAAGTATCAAAGAATTCGAGTTTTTCAGTGTATTAACTCGGATAGAGTAGATTACATCGCATTTCCTGCCAAGAAATTGCCCTGTTCTCAAAAGATAATGCTAGAACCTCCTCACTTTACATGGGAACCCATGTCAACAAAAAGTCCGTTTCCACTGACGTGTCCACCGCATGCCGCTGACGTGACACGTGGACACCTCTGCTGCCACGTGACCCTGCGTGTCCTCCTGAAACTCATTAATTAGCCTTTGCTTCAACCTTTCCCATTCACTGTATTGATCAATTCCTACAGTAGATATATGTTTTATTGTTCACTTTGTTCCACAAGAGCCTTAGCCAATGTAGTTTCTTGGTGTCCAAACAAAACCCAACTTAGAGTTGATAGAAATAATTTTTCAAGGAGTCAGAGACCTGTTGGATTGTTAGAGATCAGAATGGCTTCTAATGGGCAGCAGCAATTTCCTCCTCAGAAACGGGATACACAACCTGGAAAAGAACATGACATGAATCCTATCCCTCAGTTCAGCAACCCTGACTGCAAGCCTTCTAACAAGCTTCAAGTGTTGTTTCCTAAACACAAACCAATGTCACGTTATATTATAAGTTCACTTCTTGCATTTCTTGAAAATTATGGTTACCAGCTATCACAAAAATTTTAACAGTTGGAGTGCATAAATGAATTTGCTTCACTGCTCTTAAAGTCTAATCAGTAACCTTCTGTTATTCTATACTTGAAAATTGGACAGTCTTGTTCCTCGTGGAAATACACCATGCATGCATGTTCGAATAAATTTCATCTCTTTTTGCAGGGAATGATGGCTTTAGTCACTGGAGGTGATTCTGGGATAGGCCGAGCAGTTTGCCACTGCTTTGTACTAGAGGGTGCAACCGTGGCCTTTACCTACGGGAAGTCTCAGGAGGACAAGGATGCACTACACACTCTTGAGATGCCGAGGAAGGATAAGACACCAGACGCGAGGGACCCAATGGCTATATCTGCTGATTTGGGGTAAGATAAGAACTGCAAACAGGTTGTTGAAGAGGTGGCGAAAGCATTTGGTCGGATTGATATTCTGGTTAACAATGCGGCTGAACAGCATAAGGCTAGCTGTGTGGAGGAGATTGATGAGGAGAGGCTTGAAAAGGTGTTTAGGATTAACATCTTTTCCCAATTCTTCATGGTCAGGTAATGCTTTAAATTTCCCTATCGAAATAAAGCAATACTTGATTGAATAATTGCACTACAAGCTTTAGAAAATCTGCAAAAGGTGATACAATAACTTTGGTAATTGTTTATATGGTTTGTTATTGATAGGCATGCTTTGAAGCACATGAAGGAAGGCAGTTCCATAATAAACACTACATCCATAAATGCATATAAGGGAATGATAAGCTACTTGATTACGCAGCAACCAAGGGTGCAATTGTGGCTTTCACTATAGGCCTTTCACTACAGCTTGTGAGCAGAGGCATACGTGTCAATGGCGTTGTACCTGGGCCCATATGGACTCCACTGATACCGGCATCCTCTGATGAAGAGGAGATTGCCAATTTTGGATCCGAAGTTTCAATGAAAAGAGCTGGCCAGCCTTCGAGGTTGCACCGTGCTTTGTGTTCCTAGCCTGTAACCACTGCTCCTCCTACATAAGTGGCCAAGTCCTCCATCCAAATGGTGGTGCCATAGTGAATGCTTGATGTGGTCATATGGGGTTAAGCCAAGCTCTCTGCTTTCAGTGTATTTTATGTTATAAATAGCGTTTTGTCGTTTGCTGTATGTAAGAGTGGTAAAGAGTATCTGTTTCCAAATGTAGGCAGCCTCGATGCTAAGAGTCAAATCTGTGCTTAGAGTGATGATGTTAGGGTTGTTTTGTTTGTGTAGAAAACATATATGGTGCTTAGTGTCACTAAGAATTAAGAAGTAATAATGGAACAAAGCAGGAGCCTTATCATATTTGGTCAAATGTTTATGTCTGGTGAACTTTTTTGTGGGATGACTGTTTTGGCTTGGGATGAAAACCAACCGGCAATCAGCAGCAGGTTTGCCATTCATTTCCATTCTGCACTTACAAACCTGCCAAAATGGAGATCAAAATTTCCTGCTGTACAGACAGGTTTCCATTAAAAATATAAAAGGTTTTCAACATAATCATCGATAGGATCTGGGATATCACACGGAATCCATTCAACTTTATGGTTTACCAAGCCGATGTTTCGTCTTTTTTGGATAAATGCAAATTTTTTATTTATCCAACGGGCAAGAATATGCTGCTTCCTACTAAAATAAATCAGTGACAAAACTGATCAAAGAAAGTATTTATAATACAGCATCATCAGCAATCCTCCAACTCTGACATAAACAAGGCATCTTTATCTTTAACCACTTGGGATTAACCTTGAAAAGAGCATCAACATCACGAGCTAGCTTTACAAACTTCCCTGCAATTCCTTTCCATCCAAAGGAAATAGATACAAGCAACCGTGCTATCTTGAGGATAACCACAGGGAAAGATTTTCCTTTCAGCAACTTGCATTGACATTGACCCAAACAAACTCATCTGACCAACTTCAAACAGTCTTGAAAATACCAGAGCAGTGAAGTACTCCGGTCCACAACTGCCTGGAGAAGGAACAGAAGAAGAATAAATGATCTCTATCCTCAAAGAAAACATAAACTGGTAGCAATTGGAATACTCCATGTAGAGAGCCTGTTGAGAGTGGGCAGTTTGTCTAGGATGGTCATCCAAGCAATCATGGCATGCTTGGGAATGTTATATTGAAACTAGTAGCCTATCCCAATCCACTCTAGTCTGTTGATGTCGCATGGCCTGATAAGTGTCTGCAGCATTATATCGGCTAGATTTAGAAACAAACCACTTAACTACAGCATCAGAAGATGTAAAATCCATTAGAGAAGCAACCTGGTGCCTGAGTTTAAGCAGTTTCTTCCAAGCCCAGCTACTGCTTGAGGAGCATTGCACTTGCCCAGGAGCTCGAGCAGATTTTTGAGAGTCGAAATATCCAAAGCATTGATGTTTTATCTGCATGGGCCATAAATCTCACATTTCAAGGACTTCCTTTTGGGCCAACACATTTCAAGGACTTCGGCACCTTCAAGTACCAAGCCGTTCAACTATCCATGAAAAATAAACTGGCTTGGAAGTTCAAATTGCCATGTCTGAAGGTGGTATCTATATTTTTCTGTCCAGCAGTCCAGGAGAGAAAAAAGAATACAAGCTAGAGTGCCAGAGGAAACACTTTGACATTCTCAATAGAGGAATCACGCAAATAAGTTGACAGCAGTTTCAAGAGACGAAAAAACTTGAAAACTGGTAGCGAATAGACTATTGTGATTGTCCTATACAATTGACATAATTACTCTTATATCTGGGAAAGATCTAGAGTAATGCACTGTCAAATGCAAACTTAGATCCGTTATAGAAGAAGTAAAATGGAAAATGCAGTAATACAAAAGCTATGATGAACCGGATTCAAGGCCTTTCCCATAAAGATTTGACTAAGAAGCTGCCTTAGCATTGTAAAGCTAAAGCTGCTAATGCAAAAACCATAGATCTTAATTGAGGCCTATCAATTTTTTTAAATAAGGAAAGAAACCATTGATATTGTAATGGCTAAAATCCCAATAACTTCAAAAAACATATAAGCAAAGGTTTAACATTCCCTGGTCTTAACAGAAGGTGCAAAGATTAAAAAGAAATCAAATTCAGTAAATGAAAACAATAAAGAAAGAAAATACAGCAAACTAATGTATATAGGTGAGCAGAAACAGCTACAACATTGTTGTTTATTCTTTTTGGTTTAATAGTTATCCGCTAATCAAAAAAAGGTTTACAGAAAACAGAGGTGAACAGAAATAGCTACAACCTTGTATCATCTGCTTCATGTTTTTATTCGAAGAAAGATCTTACTACAACACAGACATGGAGAGGGAAATCAGGAAGATGTTTCAAAGGAAATTTGAACACCTTTCCCACCAATTCCAGCTGTGAAACACTGAAACCCGTATGATTCTAGCTCCTCCACTACTTTATCAACAACTGCCCCTGATAGCTCTGATTCATGTCGTCAAGGGAACAAGTAATTAAGTGATAGAATACGAGATTCAAGAAAGTAATAATGATCCTGCAAAATATTCAATCAAACTGTAAACAAAATGAAGTAATTATGAGGGAAATAATGACCACTTGTTTGGGAAATAATGATCTTATCCAAGCCTATCTTATTCTGATGAGCATCTGCCCCTTCACATGAAAAAAAGATGGAAACAGAGATGAGTAAAATAAAATAAATTCATTTCAACTCGCAGAGAGAAGCAAGGAAAGGATTATATTGCAAATGAATTCAAAACTTATTGAACCTATGTAAGCCTTATGCAGTAGGTTGCATTATCTATATATAGAGAAGACAAAAAAAGATAATTGGAACAGGTATAAATAAACAAATTAAAGAAAATAAGAATGAGGATACGGGTTGGTAAGAGTGTTAGCACACAGCCTCCACCACCGGCTCCTGTCAATTTGGAAGCCAGCTTATACTTCATTGTTGTCTGAAGAACAGTTTCTATAGATGCATGGCTGACACCTATAGATAGGAGCAAACCCTGATTCATTTCCATTAACTCTCCTAGCCTCTCTTCATTCTCGGCTAAATCATCTACAGCATGTGACTGGATAATGGCAGACCATTCATCGCTGATAGCTTCAATGGCATTTAACACAGAACACATGGCATTGGGATGCCTAGATTTCCTTGCTGAAACATTGGCAACCAATGCTTTTGTATCCCTCCCAACTTTTGTGTTGGTAATGAGCACTCTCAGTGGCATATTGGAATTGATACGGGCCATGTCACCTGACTTGAATTTTATCATGTTGCCTGTTCCATGAAAAAGATAAATTAATAATCACATATATATATATATATATATATATCTTGCTTTATAAGGAAATAAGATAACCTTCAACGAGATTGAGGATAAGAAACCACATTGACCAAAATGTCAAATAATGATGCTTTTTGGTCTTATTTGTCTAGTTATAGGAGGAGGAGCATTAAATGTATGAAGAAGAAAGTTCACAAAGAAATCAAAAAGGGATGGGTTGAAATAGGGTGCTTATTTTATGATAATATAACACCCACAATTTAATTTAAAATACTAGCCTATTATGAGGGAAATAATGATCACTTGTGAGGGAAATAGGGGGTTTATGTTACAATCATATAACCCACCTTGCTTAGGCTACTACAATGATCTTTACCATGTCTAACCTTCCTTTTAGATTTCTGATGTTACCAAATGGGTTCTAAAACACAATTTCATTCAAATCCTAGCCAGTCTGGGACAGTGATGCAAAGATAGAAGGAAAACGAATTAATTGTTAAAAGAATCGGGAGTAAAAAAAAAAAAAGTATTTACAACTTTATTAGAATAAGTTGCATACCAAATGTGCTAACTGAGTTGTCAACTCCAGAGGGCTTTCCATGAATTATCTTCTCTCCTTCCAAAGCCCACCTATTCAGCAATTCAATATCAGTCTCCTTAAAAATCAACCATCCTTTTTGGCTTACGTCCAAATTCACAGAATCTGAAAATGCCAGCAGAGCAGCGGAAAGTGCAACACAATATGCAGCTGATGAACCCAGGCCAGCACCCACTGGAAGCTCAGAAGTAACAATAACTGTAGCTGGCTTAAACCTGACTCATAGGGTCAATAAGTCAGAAACTAAACCATTGAGAGGAAAAAGTTATTTAGAAAAACCAAACTGCATACATACCCTAAGATAGAGGTGTACAACCAAAGAAATGCACAAACCCCAGAAGCAAGTCCAACCTTTGTATCAGGGAAATTTTGGTCATCAATTAGAGTGCTGATGGATTTAACAGTCTCCAGTGAGCATAATGTGGGTGTAGACGAAAATGGAGAACCTAAATGAGATAGCAGTTCTTTGATTCTTTCAACTGGCCAAGAAAAGTCTAATCCAACATCGTTGAGCTGAAGTTGTATTGTATCTTCATCCTCTATGGAAAGAGCAAACACAATAAAATGAAATAAAGTCAAGGGAGACCCCTCTCATTATCAAACAATTACATGAAAAAAAAAAGAAAAATAAGTATTAGAGTGAAAAAAAAATTACAAATCTTATCGAAGTGCCAAAGGTTATACGAAAAAAGAAACCAAGTTTGATTAATCCATTAATGTTAGTCATTTCACATAGCACTGACGGAAGTCCAGGTAGGATACTCTAAGTAAGCTTGATATCGTTAATTATAGAGATATTACTTTGATTGAAATATCTTAAAAAAGATGGTTTTTAATTCTAATCAGGCTTGGACACTTAAAATTTCCTTTAAATGCTTTCAGTCTCCAGGCAACACTTGTCAAAACAGACTGCTATTAATAGTGAAACAAAAACAGTAGTAACAGAGCTCGAGTTGAGTCCAAATTTAGATGCGAGAGCAAAAATATCAGAAAAAGGCAACAGGCGGCTTTATGCAAATTAGTTCATGCTAACAAATTAGTTAGCAGCCAACTCTAAGCATTCATCAAACCAGAAAGGTTCGTTCCCAAAGGTTCTCTTCACACGTGTTAAAAGCAACTGGACAAGCCCAAATCTAGCAATCTGCATCACTAAAAATCCATCCAATCTGAGTTATCGGCTCCTCATTTGAAAGCAAGCTATAATCAGATCAATATTTGCAGAAAAGATAACAATAACCAACAAACACATCCAAAGTAACGTCTACAAAAAATGAAACATATCTTGACATAACAATAACCAACAAACACATCCAAAGTAACATCTACAAAAATGAAACATATCTTGACATAGTCTCAAAAAGTTGTTTCCCAAATCCTAATCTATTTCATCCAATCCCAAAAATAATATGACTGAAAACAAACTTCACCAAAGACAAAGAATAGTGAGCACCCAAAATTTGCAGAAGCACAATAAAGCTTCACATAGTCTTAAAAGGGAATGCTACAATCATCATTTAAAACAATCCAAAAACAACCCCAACTCAAACGAAAAAAAACCAACAAATTCAACCTATAAATCACCAAAAGCAAATAATAATAAGCAACAAATTCATTTAAAGCAAAACCTTGGAAAACTAAAGTAACGCTTCATATAATCACAAAAGGGTATCTACCAATCAACATTTTACACAATAAAAACAACCCCACTCAAAACAAAACTTCATCCCATCCAATTCAACCCGGAAATCACCACAAACAGCATCAAAACACAAAAAAGATCAAAACTTGCATAACATGTAAATAAATAAAATAAGATATAAAGAGAAATACCAGAACCAAGACGAAGAGAGACAACAGTATAGAGATTAATGGAGGAAGCAACAGCAGCATATCCATGAACCACAGCATGTTCACCGGCGAGTATGATCTTCCCTGGAGCTCTGGCAGTTATCTCCATTTCCCACTTCTTTCTTTTTCCTTCCTTTTCTGATTCAAAATGTTAAATTTGAGCCTTTTAGTTGAAGATGATTATTGGGTTTTCGTCAAAAACAACTCTTTACTTTGATTTACAATTTGGAAGTGAAATGAAGTTGGTGTCAAAGGTTGGATCAGTCTGGTGGATGAAGTTGGCTAGCTTGGAGGCTATAATGACGGCACAGGTGGAGGAGGCTTAAGCAAATCAAAGGGGAAAGCGGAGATTTGGTGGCGGAGGATGCTGAGCTAAGGAAACTGTACTTTCCCCGCTAATCAAACCAGCCTAAATTCCTGTTCTTGTTTGTTTGTTCTGTTCCTCCTTTTATAGCTGAGATAGATGTCAACCCACCAGACTTTCTGGCACGTGACTTCTCAACTGTAAATTTGGCAAGCTGTTTTTTTTTTTTACTTGCCATAAGAAATGTTTTTTCTTTTGGTAATCAATAATACCAACTCACATGACTTGTTCAGGGGTTATTATTATTTGTTTTTTTCAAAAGAGTTATTCTTATTTTGGTTAATAAAAAAACCATGTTTGAAGGTAACATAATCCAAATGTTTGGCAACAAACTTATTGTTGAGGTAAAATGTTCAAAATTTGCATACTTTTTTAAATTATATCATTTTAAAAGTAATTACTAAAATTATTTTATGTAATTTTTTTAGATTTAAAATAAATTTTAAATTATTAAATATAATGTCAAAAAATGTTGAATACTTTTTACTAAATATATATATATATATTTATATATATAAATGATATCTCATGTACCATCTTAATGCATTATAAAAATTATATTATTATCTAGTTTTTTATGTATAATTCATTAATTCTTATACAAAAGTTCTCTTAAAAAGAGTTAAACTCTTTAACTTTCAATTTACTTTATAACGGTTATTTTACTTTATATATTTCACTTAAGTTTTTAAATTTTTTATCATAATATCATAAACTCTGATGTTTTTTAATTTGTTGTCTAGATCGTTAATATATATTATAGATTGTCTTGTACCGATATTAACTAACTATTCTTAAATAATGTTATATTTAATGATTTGGATAATAATTTTAATTTTAATTTTCAATCAAAATAACCTAAACTTAAATAATTCATTTGGCTAGGAAGCCTTTGGTACACTTGATAAAGTAGGAAAAAAAAATGAAGATTAATGCAAAAAAATGAAGATTAAACTATAAAAAAAAAGAACTAAAATTAAATAATTTGTAAATCTTTATTATTTTATTGCAGTCAATTAAATACAAAAATATTTATTTTTATACGTCATCTTAATGTATTACAAAAATTATATTAGTATCTAATTTTTTATGTATAATATATCAACACTTATAAAAAAAAAAAAAAACTTACTTAAAATGAGCCTTCATCTTCAATTTACTTTCTAACGATTATGTTATTTTATATAGTTCACTTAAATTATCAAATTTTTTATCATAATATCATAAATTCTAAAGTTTCTTAATTTGTTATCCAGATCATTAATATTTATTATAGATTATCTTGTAACGACATTAACTAATTATTTTTAAATAATTTACATTTAATGATTTGGAGAATGATTTCATTTTTATTTTTCAATTACGGTAACATAAACTTAAGTAATTCATTTGGCCACAAAGCTTTTGGTACACTTGATTCTTTTTTTTTTTTTTTAATAAAGTAGCATCATTTCCATTTTAAATAGTGAAGTCGTATCTCGGGTTACAATGTATGATAGTTCCTCTGGGCATACATTACACCAATGTCTTGTCATCATGTTTTTCACTGCCTTATGGTTACTTGTATCCCGAATTTGCTTTTTACCGTCTCCTTAGCCTTTAGCTTAGTATTTGTATTGAAGAATAAGCCTGACTTGTCGTAATTTATTTTTTGCCCAGAACCTTCTTCGTACCACTTTAGCACATCCATCACTTCTTTGCTTTCTTGTTGGTTTGCTTTGAAAAAATGCAACTCTCTTCTACAAAAAGAAAGTGAGTGATTTTAGGACCCCAGAATCTTGCCCTCACTCTTTTTAGCAAGCCCTCTATTTGCAATTAGGAAAAAAAATTGAAGATTAATGCACCAAAAAATGAAGATTAAACTATAAAAAAAAAAACTAAAATTAAATAATTATTTGTCTTTTATTATTTTATTACAACCAATTGAGTTCGAAACATTTATTTTCATCTAATTAAACTTTTATTGGATGAAAATTAATTAATCATTATCATTAATTTTTATCTAATCGATAATTCAATTGAATGCAAATAAATAGTTAAGAGTTTAATTTGATAAAAATAAAATATCTAAGTGCTCCATTAATAGATATAAAACAATAAAAAATTAAATAATTATTTAATTTTAATTTATAAATATTTTATATTTAAGTAAAAAAAGAAAATGAAGAAAATGAGATAAAGATAATTATAGGAATAAATAATGTATAATTCAACTTTGAAGGAAACAACATTTTTTTTTCCAAAGTAAGGCAATACAAATATAATTTTCAGATAACCTAAAAAAAGTCGTTATACATTATTTAATCCATAATTTATATATGGAGTAGTAAAATTTAAGTACAAATTTGATTTTTTATATGAATATTTAAGTTAAATAATGTTGATGGATTTTCTTTGTTTCTCATAATTTTTTATTCCATTTAATATGGGCCGTCGTGTACTACAAGTGCCTTAAAGGCGCTTGGGATGTGGAAGACAATCAATCTGATCCATCACGTTGGCTTTTTCCCAAAAACATATTTCCTTTTAAAGTAAAAAAAAAACTCATGAAATAAATTAAATTAGTCCAAGTCCACCATTGAACTGGATTCAACGTTGATACGCTGAAAAGGGCCACTGCCACCTACCTTCTTTTTTTTTTTAATTTTTAATTTTCCTCTTTTAATTTATTGGGAATTAAATAATTTTTTAATAGTTTCACTGTAATTCAGTTTTCAACATTGGTTGGAAGACCCTAACAATTACTGAATATTTTTTTAATACGATCATATGTTTCTTGAGAATTAAGGATCGAATTTTGATTAATGGAGTTTTTTTGTTAATCTTCGTAAGTGTAAATTTTTTTTTAATAATTGTGAAAAATCTTAGGTAAATGCGTCATCCAAACTGTTTCACAATTTTTTTTCAGTTAAAAAAAGTAAAGCAAAACATTAAAGATTTTAATTTTTTAAGGTGTAACTGTCAGCCTCATTTATCCCGAGAGGCAGCTGCTTGATAATGACTTGAGCCTAAAGGTGATGAAATCACTTTTCAGCAGCATGTGACTTATCATATAATTCTTTTATATATATATATATATTGTACAATAAAGTACTATATGAGTAAATATATAGGAATCTAAATATGTGGAATCACTCATGTTATGATTTTTTACATTTTAAATCTTTCTGTTTTATCATTTGGTTTATGTTTTTCTGGTAGCATTTAGACCAAATGATATTACGAAATTTCGTTGATATTGTTACATATCATGGATAATGGAGGAGACATCTCTATTTTTCTTCTTGAAAATTTTTTTTCACTAAAACAATATATGTATTTTTATTAAGATATATTCTATAATTAATTTTAATATATATATTAGTTGTATTTTTCATTTTATCGAAAATTGATTTTATAATATTAATGACGCTTATGAAAGCTGTTGTATTTTTTACTTAAAAATCAATTTTTTACCTTACAAATAAAAAAAAGTTGATTATTATAAAATTCATTTAGTCATTTGTGTTGCTTGAAAATCTTGAATGGTTAATTCAAAATTGAATGATACTAATTAAAATAAGAAAAAAAATTCAAATCCTAGGGTTTTCTCATAGGATACCAATAGCCTAACAACTAAACTTTTGGATTTTTGAGTTGAAGATTTTAGGTTCAAATCTTGAAATGAGAAGTGATTATCTTTCATTAAGTTCAAATTTTTAGTTCTTATGTCTTTTCAACTGAATTGGAGATTAAATTTTATTATCAGCAAATCATCAAGAAGACCAAACTTCATCAGTGATATAATTAGGTTCTACTTCCTCACCTGCAATGGTTCCTCTGAGAGTGTTTCAACCAAAGCCTGTGCATCATTGCACCACAGATAAAGTGTCTCTCATCATTAATTAATTACCAAAAACATTATAACAAGAGACAGAAGTGCAAGGATATCGAAGCTGACAAATAATATTATTGAAGACAACAGCTTTAAGAGCAGTGTTCGAACTTAAACTATATGTTATACAAACTGAGCAGCAATTATCTTCCTATATATTTTACAATTAACATTGGATTCTACAATGAGCATGGACTAAGATCGAGAAATAGGAATTGTGGAACAATGTCTCATGCTTCTGCAGATTGTAATGCTGCATTAACACTATTAGTACGAGAATTCAGTGGCATGATAATTTCTAGCCCTGATAATTTGTCAAAGACAGTGAAATTAGCACTTTATTCTTTCAGCATACCAATTTCTTCTTTGAGGGTGTCATATAAACTCTCAGTAAGATTGAGCAGGAATGCATCTGAACCATGTTTTGCCACCAGGGAAATTGCCACAGGAACATTATCATGCATCCCTAGAGGTATGCTGACCTGTAGAGAACAGATACTAAACACATTTCAAAATCCATACCAATGAAAAAGAGGAAAAATGGGAAAAAAAAAACTTGTAGGATTTTCAAGTTTGAACCTGACAGAATCCAGACACTCCAGCAATGGACAACAAGCTAAAAGGCCTAGAAAAAAATAAATCCAATGTGGCTGGATTTGCTTGCACTTTTGGTGGTTCCCCTGGTGTTGTTGGGAGAGCAAGGACGCCATGATCCTAAAAGAGTCCATTTAAGTAGAGTGATTTATAAGAAATGAGTAACTTAATATGAATAATTTTTCTTTTTTTCTTTTTCCATAGTAGCTAGGTCATAACTTTTCTATATTCATGCAATGCGTAAGACATCCAGAAGAACATTTGCCTGTTATCATTAATCAAAGACAGGTTTAGTCATAGGAGAGATTTGTTTGAATCAGCATAATGTTTGACTAACAAAACATTTACAATGAAAGGAACAGAGACTACCCCAAGCAGAGCTGTAAGTGCAGCACGTAATTCGGTCCTGACAGAGTGGCAGAAATCAATATTTTCTCCTGTTACTTTAATGGCATCCCATATCCGCTCAGATATTTCTGGACCAAAATCCGGATTCACTTTGGTGACCCATTCAGCATGGTTATTCTTAAATTCATACCTACAGTAGTTGAACTTAGTAATAATGCTTATATACATGATCTTGGATCATATGAAAATCACCATGCAGGCATACTAGAAAGTTTCAAGATGTTTGGCACCTTTGAAGTAATCGCATTGAACTTGAAAGGGCTGCCAAGGCTGGTGGTATATCATCCTCTTGGTCTTCGTTTACCTTATGTATGAAATGCTGCAAACTTGGTACTTTGTCCTTCACATAGTCTCCAAGGATTACATGCTTTACACATTGACCTGCACTTGCAAATCCATAAAAGTGAGATCCGACTTATTGAGAAGCAACCGGCTTTCAGTACCAAAGCGATGTTGGTCCCAAATGCAGCAAAGTACCTCAGATGGCATATTTAACGGGACAAGATCTATCTTAATATCAGATACATGAAAAGAGACATTGTTAATGAGTCATTTTCTGACAGATCACTGTAAATTCAAAAAATGCAATTCTGGATGCCCTCTAAGCCTAAAAAATTACCACATATTGTTATTCAAGCCAAGCCAAAGAACAAGCTTTCAAAGTAAGGCCAGTTAACAAAGTTTGCAGAAGGCCTATGGTATAATTACTTTCCTCCAAAGAGCTTCTCAATTGACTTTACAAGAACTTGGGCTGTTCGATCACTTGGAACACTAGATAGGCGGAAACAATCATCTGGAATTATAATCTGACTTGGTTTGATAGGATCCACATCAGGTAAATGCAGAAGAACACGTCCAACATGGTTTAAAATCACAGGGTCCCGAGCAAACCATCCTAAATGAGAATTCAGAGTCAAAACAATGATACCAAATTAAGGGCTCTACCAGTTATGTGGTTCTGAAATAAAGTATAGATGAAAATAGTTATTAGTGTTGTCTGGTTTCATTGGTAAAAGATATTTGCTATTATACTTTATCAAAAAGCTAAAATTTCTGAGGACATGCTTGAGAGAAAAAAAGAAAAACCGAGGAAAATATTGTTCACAAGTTAATATGTTTGGTCCATAAATTTGTTGACTTTGAACTGTGTTTAAACATTGCAGGTAATCAAGATTAAACAATAATCTTGATATTAGGCTTTTCCAAGTGTACTTCTATGGTCATCAGAATTAAAATTTCTCTTATGTACATTTCAAAAAAGGTGCCATCAGATTTAGCCCTTACCCACAGTATCAAAACTCTGTGACATAGGAACAACTCCTACAGTAGAGATGGCACCAAGTGAAGGCCGAAATCCAAGAATTCCACAATATGATGCAGGGACTCTTACACTTGCTCCAGTGTCAGTTCCTATGTTAGAAATGAAAATTCACTTGAAGAAGGATGATGAATAAAGAAAGACATCTCATTTGAAAAGGAAGTTATTACCTAGGGCAAAATCTACCAGTATTGCACCTACTGCAACGGCAGAGCCACTAGAAGATCCTCCAGGCACCCTATCTGGTGCACAAGGATTTGTGGGAGTGCCATAATGTTTATTGACTCCATACATACTGAATGTAAAAATTTACACATGTATAAAACCAACAAGTTTTATGATCAGAAAAGATATGGAGTCATAAAAATCTATCAAAACTCTGACCAGTATGCCATTTCATCCATGACAGTCTTTCCCAGACAAGTTGCACCTCCCATTAAGAGGTCCATCACAGCCGGTGCTGTTGATGTGGCAGCTGAATGAGTCCTCGCCCAGTCAGGGTTTCCAAAGCCAGTGACATATCCCTCTATGTCAAATCTATTTCCAACTTTGAAGTTAAACCAGTTAGTCTCAAATACTGAGGTAGCAGAACAGGAAAGACAAGGTCCAGTAATCAAAAGCAGAAATTGATTAGTGAGCTTGCAATTATTAAACACATACCCACACACAAATTATTTACGAGAATACAAGAGAAAAACCAATGACTGAAATTCAAAAGAAAGTACACCAGGTCTCCAGGACAATACAGTTAAAACATGTGGCTGAAAGTTGATTTGTTAGACTGGAGAGTGGAGACACATGCAGACATTCAGGTGAATAAATAGAACTCTAGGCTATAAAGTATAAACAGTAAACACTACAGAAACAGAAGAATATATGGTATGGATAAAAATTGGTGCATGAATTAACTAAGACAAGCATTTTTGTAGATTACTGACAAAATCATATCCCAATAATCCAAAAGCAAGAATTGGTATACAAGTATTAAGATGCAAAAAAATAAGTAGAACATGCTTTAATTGTCATGTTTCCATCATATAGAAGCAAGAGTGACATTAATGAGGAAAAATTAAAAGGTAAAATGCATATAGAGAGAGACAAACATGTCTTTAACAGCAAAAGTGAGGCCACTCAAAGGGAGTTGGTGCGGTGAAGGGCCAGGCTGGAGAGTAAATTTCTCCATGAAAGCTCCAAAGTCCAAGCTTTTTGCCATGTCTGTTGCTGCTATCTTTGTGTAAAATGTGTAGTAAACTCATTTATCTGTAAGTCCTTTTTGTTTCAAGCAGAGAATCCAGCTACAAGAGAAAACAATGTTGTTACTAGTCTTATGTTGGATGCCTTGTCTGCATCGTTCTCAAAATGTAACAAAATTTCTTGTCTAATGACTCTTTTCTCCTTTGTTACATTTTATGTAGGAGTACTTATGATCTACTATAGCTGTCTTTAGAGTTAAGGAAGGCAAAGATGACATTTGTTTAGTGACGTGATGACTTTTGAGTCCGCTATCACATTATTACCAGAGATTGAAAATAATTGCTGATCAATGATTTAGGCGCCCTCCCCTTTCGCTTTTATTAAGGACAAGCGATCAAGATAAGGATAAGCAACAGCAGACACCTGGACTACAAATCAAGATGCGCACCTAATGTAGTTGAAAAAAAATTGGCTTAAGACAAAGTGAAGATATTTTCATGGTTGTTTAAATATATGGAACAAAAGGTTGAAGGAAACTATGGATATTAATTGATTAAAATGCAGTAGAAGCACTTTTTTTTTTTGTTCTAAATGGAACTTCTTCTGAGCTTCTTCAAATCCATGTCAAAGATTTATATGAAGTAATAATTGGTCTGTATAGGTTCTTCTGCAAGCTCAGAATGTTCCAACCCAAACCTTTTGCAGGTATGCATCATATAGGCTTCAATGCTCAAGCCAAAGACAAGTAACAGTTCCAACTCATTCTCAAATTGGTGTGTCTGTTCTTAGTAACGGCAAACTAGGAATGTCACCACTGCAACTGCGGCAACGGGAAACCTTCTGTTTTAATTCAGGGTTATCAGTAGATGAAATATCCATAGCTTGTTTCGTTGGTTGAAACAGATACATCATATTTTAGCTCTTATATACTTGACTGGTTGGGAGATAAAACCTTATTGCTAATAAATATCAGACACCACCACCTCAAGCAGGGAAACAATAATTGATACTGTTCATAATTATATACCTACATAATTTTAATCAGTTTTGAGTATCTACAGTTTCCATGGACTCGAAGTTTTCCATTCTCAATTATTAAATATATATGGATGGAAACAAAACGTCCTCTAACATTTTCATGCTCACATATTATAATCCCAATCCAATTAACTGAGTGGCACTGGCACAACATGCCTAGTTTTGTTATAAAAGAACATAAACTTGCCGAAATATAAAAAACAGATTGAATCCAACTCATTCTCTCAGCATTGCAATTTCTCCCTTGAGGGTGTCATATAAAGTCTCAACAATACTGAGCAGGAATGCATCTGAACCATGTTTTGCTAGCAAGGAGATTGACACGGGAAGATTATTATGCATTCCCAGAGGTATGCTTACCTGTAGACCAGACATATAAGAATTTTGAAAGTACTATTAAAGACAAGGAGAAAAAATAGTCGAAACTTTTTCGAGTTAAAACCTGACAGAATCCAGATAATCCTGCAATGGAGAGCAAGTTAAAAGCCCTAGCACGAAATCTTGCCAGTGTGGCTGGATCAGTTTGTAGTTTTGGTGGATCCCCTGGAGCTGTGGGGATAGCTAGGATGCCATGGTCCTTAAAGAGCATGTTCAAGCAGAGTTATTGGTAAGAGATAGATATGGTTACTAGGAGAAATAAAGAAGACTAGTCTAACTTATAAAAAAGAAATGGGAAGAATATGTCAAAAGTTTAATACTGCAGGCAAACATCTACATATGTTGGTATAAATTGCATTGAATAAAATATACAAGCAAAGAATCTCTAATTTTTAATGGTAAATCAGGCTTAACTTTTCTATATTAATGTATACATCATTCAAAAAGAACATTCATCAAGATTATTATCAATTCAAACCCAGGTTACTTCAAGAGAGCATTAGTTAGGTAGCAAAATGTTCACAGCGAAAGAGTAACAGATCAGAAAGTACCCCAAGCAGAGCAGTAAGTGCAGCACGTAATTCACTTCTCACAGAATTGCAGATGTCAATGTTTTCCTGTGTTGTTCTAATGGCTTTCCATACCCACTCAGATATTCCTGGACCTAAATCAGGATTCACTTTGGTGACCCATTCAGCATGATTACTCTTATATTCATACCTGCAGTGATTAAATTTAGTAATAATACTTAAACACATCAGGCTGGCTGAATGGTTACAAGTTACTTGATGTTTTGCACCTTTGAAGCAACTGCATTACACTTGAAAGGGCTGCCAAGGATGGTATATCATACTCTTGGCCTTCATTTTCCTTATCCATGAAATGCTGCAGAGTTGTAACATTGTCCTTGACATAGTCTCCAAGGATTACATGCTTTACAAATTGACCTGCACTTTCAAATACCTAAAGTAAAGTCTAATGGCCCTTCTAATCAGCCAGGTTGTGTCTGAACATCCATACTTGAAATGGTTAACAAGTATCATTTCCAAGCCTGGATAAATCTCTATTAGCCTTTAAGTTTAAATAAGCCTATGGTTGATTTACTTACCTCCAAAGAGCTTCTCAACTGATTTAACAAGAATTTGAGCTGTTCGTTCACTTGGAACACTTGATAGGCAGAAACAATCTTCTAGAATAATAATCTGAATAGGTCTGGTAGGATTCATATCAGGCAAATGCAGCAGAACACATCCAACTCAATTCAAAATCACAGGATCCCTAGCAAACCATCCTACATTAGAACTTGATGTCAAAAGGAGTGACCACTAAGGAGCTTTACAAATATAGTTCATTCATAGAGTTTGTAGAACATAGAATACAGGCATGGAAACTTTATCACATTTTCAAATAAAGTAGTGACCATTGATTAGTCCTAAACTAGTTTAATTGATAAAATTACTGCTTCTATTGGCATTATTTACTGTATGATATAAAATTGACCCTTAATTTTCAAGTTAGGCTTTTCAGGTCAATCAGAATAAAAGTTTCTCAGATCAGTTAAGTGCAACATATAGATTTTGAAATAGGAACATCGCATTTAATCCTTACCCACAGTATCGAAGCTTTGTGACAAAGGAAGAACTCCAACAGTGGAGACAGCATCATGTGAAGGTCTAAACCCAAGAATTCCACAATATGATGCAGGGAGTCTCACACTTGCTCCAGTGTCAGTTCCTATACCGGAAATAAAAATTCAGTTCCACAAATTGTGGTCAAATAGAGAGAAGAAATATCTTAGTGAAAAGGAAAATGCTCACCTAGGGAGAAGTCCACCAGCATTGCACCTACTGCAACAGCAGAGCCGCTGGAAGATCCTCCAGGCACCCTATCTGGTGCACATGGATTCCTGGGAGTGCCATAATGCTTATTTTCTCCATAAATACTTGAAAAAAAAAAAGAGAAAATTACTCAGAGGTATAGCCAGCAAGAGCGATTAATCAAGGTAAGTAATTGTATTTGCAATCATAAAATCTATAAAACAAACCTTACCAGTATGCCATTTCATCCGAGATAGTTTTTCCAACACAAGTTGCCCCAGCCCTTAAGACATCCAACACAGCCGGTGCCGTAGACGTGGCAGCTGAATGAGTTCTTGCCCAGTCAGGGTTTCCAAAGCCAGTTACATATCCATCCACATCAAATCTGTTTCCATACTTTTAATTTGAGATTATAAACATCAAGCAACCAGAAAGCAGAAGAGCCAATAATCAAAAACTGAAACTGATCTGAGCTTGCAACAAAGACAGCCAATAATCAAAAACTGAAATTGATCTGAGCTGCAGCAAAGACATATACCACTTACCAACAAAAAGAATATAGGAAGGCCCAAATGGCTGAAATCACAACCACGAAGAAGGTTGACTCGCGAAGACATTAGATACTTCGACAGAAGACATAGTATGTAATAAATCAAATATAATCAGACTCAAGGCTAAATGCAGTTAAAAACTAAATATGCAGAAGAGCTTGTACTTAGAAATAGGTGTATGAATTGGTAAAACACTATCTACACATACAAGCTTTTGCTGACAAAAGATGAAACAAGAAATCCAAAGCAAAACTAGCATATAAAAGAAAGAAAACAGGTAATCTGCTTTGAGTTTTCCCAATATCTGGCATCCATAGTTAAAAGAATAATTTCAATGAGGAAAAGTTGGAAAAGACGATACCTGCATAAACATGGACTGACATGTCTTTAACAGCAAAAGTGAGGCCACTCAAGGGGAGTTGGTGATGACGAGAGGTGAAGGACCTGGTCGAAGAGTAAATTTCCCATGAAAGCTCCATACTCCAAGCTTTCTGAATGTATGTTACGCTCTCTCTCTCTCTCTCTCTCTATGCTGTCTGTGAATAGTAGGCTGATCCAGTAATGTCCTTCTTTCCTGAGCAGAGAATTTCACATCCAATTTCAAGTCCCATGTTAGGTGCGCTGTCTGCATCAATTTTGTGGAAAAATTGTTGTACTGTAACTCGTTTGGAGTTGGACTAACCAATCCAACGTTATAATACCGTCCAAAACTAGGGATGCGATTGGCAGGATATTGGATAGATAGTGCATTTTTCAGCATCTTTGAATTTTCGTATTAAATTTTATTTTTTATTTATTTAACAGATATTTTAAATTTAATTTAATTTTTATTCTCACAAATATTTAATAGATATAAATAATCTTATATTTATAATTTTTTTAAAAAGATAAAAATAAAAATTAATTTTTTAAATATTTATAAATAACTTATATACATATACATTAAAGTCAAGTCAAATTGATTTAAATTTTAAATATTTTTATTAAGATTCAATTTTGAATTTAAATGAATCTAAAAATTATATTCAAATTTATTTATTTAATTTTAATTTTTTTACCCAGTTTTTTTTTTTTTAAATTTAAATAAATTTTTAAAATTGGATTGATAACCTGAACAAGGTTTGCTCCCATTGTGTCATTAATTAACAGCATGCGCTTCACAGTTGGGCCTGCTATAATTAATAAATTTGGGCTGATGAGCATTATTATTGGACAGAAGTCAACCCAAGTATATTGGGCCATAAAAATTGGATTGGGTTTTGTCGGCTTCTTTCTATGCCCTCCGATTATGTCTTGAATCATATAATTTCAAATATACAACCGATTAATTTGTACGTAATCGTGTGATTGGCATTAAAAAGCCACTAAACACTCATTTTGGTGTCACATTTTATGACACGATTGAAATAATTTTACCATGTCACATTCCTTTTATTGAGTA